TTAGCATAACACACACCAATAAACCACTGCAACTTATCAACACACACCAATAAACCACTGCAACTTAGCAACACACACACACCAATAAATCACTGACACTTAACATAACACACCAATAAACCACTGCAACTTAACATAACACACACAAATAAACCACTGCAACTTAGCATAACACACACCAATAAACCACTGCAACTTAGCATAACACACCAATAAACCACTGCAACTTAACATTACACACCAACAAACCACTGCAACTTAACATAACACACCAACAAACCACTGCAACTTAACATAACACACCAATAAACCACTGCAATTGAGTGTAACACGCACACCAGTAAACCCCTAAAGCTCAGTGTAACATATACACACACACACACACACACCAATAAATCACTGCAACTGAGTGTAACACACCAATAAAGCACTGCAGCTCAGTGTGGTGCACATCATTATTTCTGGATTTAACCCCTCAGATCTCATGGCTGTCTCAGAAAAGTTCAGGCTCACACTACATGCTCAAAGTTCTGTTAAAGGAGGAGCTGAGGGACAACAGGTGGACTCGGAGCAGGAAGGAAACTCATTTTGTTGTAATACTCTGTCACAGCTGAAAAACAGAGCAGCCTCTTTTGTTAACCTATGAAATATTGTTAAGTGTAGGAGGATAAATAATAACTCTCTTCTTTCATTGTTTTTAATGTACATAAAAAGGCATGAAAAAATTAAATTCTGCACAAAATGGGATTTTTTTGCTTTCTCCTTTCAACATTACTACATCATATATTTACATAAAACCTGTTTTAAAGTTCACCATCTGTACTTATACCAGTTAAGTGTTTGTGTAAAAAATAACTATGGTAGTTAAAAAGTACAGCAATGTTCTGATTATTGACCTCATTACAAATAAAAACACATTCCAGTCATATTCCTGTTTGTGTGTAGCAGTGTAAGGATGGATCAATATTTTTGTTTAATTAATCTGCAAATATTCATTATGCTAAGAAGGTAGACAAGAAATCTCCCTAATTTGACCACATCTAGTTTAGGCCCAGATGAGGACACCATAAACTCAGGGTTATGTTTTTGTACTGTAAAACTTGACATGGTAATGACAGGTTGTTCCCGTTGACAACTCAGGCCAAAACATCATCTGAAGAGCATTTAATGGAAAAAGAACCGTGTTGTCTGACACGTGAAGCAAAATTAATCCTGTAGGCTGCAGAGAAGGAGACACACGGAGGTGGAACATTACAGAGAAGAGACCTGGTGTCAAAACAGGTCAAAATAATATGTTAAGAAGAAAACCTGTTCATCTCCATCTGTGAGGCAACCTGAAGGACACCACCTTATCCAACACACTGGCATTATCGCAGTGTCACGCTGTTACACACACACACACACACCACTGAGCAGTTAGTATGAACATTCAGGAGGTTTACTGTGAGGAGCCACTGGGAGCAGTGGTCCGTCTGTGGGCAGATGTGACTGAGAAACCAGCTCCTCTGGACCCTCTGAGTAAGGCACTTTAAGCCATTTTAAGGCTACAACCACAGCGCATTATCAGCTGAAACCCACTCGGCTGTCTGAAAACTGACGCAGCAGAGAAAAAAATAAAACATCTGTCACGACTAGATCAAAGATGGGAGGAGGCAGCAGCTGATGTTCATCCAGCTTGTTAGGAGTAAATCCTGTTGGCATATCCTGTTAGGATTACCGCACCGACACTTTAACTACAGGAATGCTGTTAAATAAGACTGATAGCTGGAAGCTAACTGCTAAGCAGCACAGTTACTGGAACCACAAAAACACAGTTAAACATGGCTGTTAGCTGGAAGCTAACTGCTAAGCAGCACAAGTACGGGAACTACAGAGATGCTATTATACATGGCTCTTAGCTGGAAGCTAACTGCTAAGCAGCGCAGACGCTGGAACTACGGGAACACTGTTTAACATGGCTGTTAGCTGGAAGCTAACTGCTAAGCAGCACAGTTACTGGAACTACTGGAATGATGTTAAATAGGGAGTCATTCCTTCCCACTGTCACTAATGTTCTGCCTTCTTTAGACAGATAACTTTCATTAAATGTCATTTTGAAATGTGTAGTGAATGTATTTATGTCCTGAGAAGACATTTGGAAACTACTGGACTAGACTCTGTCAAACTGCACCCTCTGATATGGTTCAGAGTAATCTTATTTGATTTTACAGTTTGCTTTAATAAATCAACCCGAGCACACAGAACTGCAACGAAGCCAAGGATCACTTGAACATCTGCAGGAGTTTCCACGCGTCCCCTCCCACAGAACTGGCTACTGGAGGCAGAACATCTGTAAAGATCTGCAGCTTCACGTTGTTTGAGACGTTCATGCAGGAGAAGAACAGGTTTTCAGTGGGACACACGTACACTTCAGAGGAACTGGACCGTGATCATCACGGAAGACTTACTTCATCTGTTTGACGATGGTGCTTTTCCCTGACTCTCCAGCCCCTGGGGGGACAAAGACAGGAGAAGACAGTGTAAACAGGGTGGATGAGACAAGAACGGAGGAAGAGGAGGTGGAAGAGGAGGTGGAGATCCTTCATGATGCTCAGCAGCAGCAGCAGGAGGAGGAGGAGGTGCAGATGAGGATGCAGAAAGCTGCATCCCTTTTAAAATTAAACCTCCTCCATCTTCTCTCACCTTACACTTTGTTTTAATGGATATTTAAATAAAATAAAATAAAAATAAGGACTCATATTTGAGGTGCTGTCTCAGATGTGGGCCTGCCGCCATCTTTTCCCTGCAGCTCCATCATCTGAACATTTAACCACCTGCCACACCTTTTTTTAAATTTTTTATATATATATATATATAAACCAAATCTAAATCCTTCAGTGATTTAAAATGTGAAGATACACAGGTCGTGCTTCTCTTTTTTTATTTAACTATTGAATTTCTTATAGAGGCTCGTTCTCCTACAGAGCCACACCTTTTTTTTTTTTTTTGGGCCCGGTGTGGGGGTTCGGTGGTTCGGTTCTTACCGAGCAGCAGCAGCTTCACGTCCTTGGCCGCGGTGATCCCGTCCTCCTTCAGGTTCTTCTCGATGGCTTTGCTCCGGTCCAGAGCCGCCCTCTCCTCTGCGCTCAGGGTACATCCCATGGTTAGAGAACACAGCTTGCTGGCGGTACCGGTTCCGAGGTCCACGCTGGAAAACGCACCGAATTAATGAGGATGAGTGCAAGTGGTGGGCTCGGATTGGAAATCCTCTCCGGTTCGGGGGTAGTTCCAGGTTTTCTGCCGTCGATCCCTCCGCGTCTCTCGGGGCAGCTCCCTCTCTCAGGCCGGGCACGGAGGCGCCGTTAGCGCGTTGAGATCACCGGTCCTCCCGGTTCGGTCCACGGCGCGGGGCGGGGAACAGTGACACGGACCGGGTGAAGCCTCCGCAGCTGGATGATGATGAGGATGATGAGGATGACTCTCCGTCTTTTTCTCTCGCTGTCGGTAAATCTCGCTCCCGTCTCTCGTTACTGCTGGGCGGCGGTGGGCAGCGCGAGCATCGCTCGGTTCGGCTCGGTTCTCACAAGCGGCGGACCCTTTCCTGAGTTCGGCTCCTCCGGGGACTCGCTCGGTGTCAGCTGCACTGCCTCCCGGTAGCTCCGGTAGCGGCTCGCTCGGTTCCTCAGTTAGTTCGACAGTCAGTTCGCTGACAGGCTGATGACGTCACAGCGGTAGGAGCTAATGAAGAAAAAGAAACGCTCAAGGAGCGTGCGCGCCCCCTCACGGCGAAAATAGGAACAGCAGGCTTCTTATTTAAACTGTTACTTTAAATGTTTTGACAGCCCATCCATCATCTGTCCATCCGTCCATCCATCCATCCATCCATCCATCCATCCATCCATCCATCCATCCATCCATCCATCCATCATCAGTCGATCATTCATCATAAATCCA